CCCTCGTGCTCTCTCTCTCTCTCAAATAAATAAATAAAATCTTTAAGAAAAAAAAAAAGGAGTTACTAAAAGGAACTACATCAAAATTCAGGATACTTTTAAACCTTCATTTGGAATAAGGCATTTCTTTTGTATAAGATGTAATTTTCCTACATTTCAGAAGAACACTCATTCAAAGCATCTACTCCTTCCAACAGTCCTAACAAGAGTTTATAGGGCCCAAAAGAGACTGAGCAATGGCTTCCGCTTTTTCCTAAGAGCCTGGAGAGCACCTGATATGGGTTGATTCAAGCTGGTCTATTGTGATTTAGCTACTTCCCACTGCCAACAAAGCTACCTCCAGGCAGTCCAAGAATAGAGAGCCCCTTGTGCCTACCTTAGACACCAAACCAAACCACTACTTTTATAGTGATTATTTCAAGTGACATTATCTTGGAACAACCAAATAGGAAGAAAGCAGCGAAAGAGGTTGGCACACCTGTAGTCTATCTGTTTATCTATTTTTTGCCAGCGGTCTGTCAGCTGTGTGACTTTGTCACTGAACTTGCCCAGGTCCAGGTCATAGAGTGGATACTGCTGTGACGTCTGGGAGTGGGTCTGCTGGGCTTTCTGCAGCTCTGTCTTCATGGTGGCCAAGAAGGACTTCTTCAAGTTCAAGTCATTTTTGATTTTCTGTCACAGGAGAAAGAAAAGAGTACAAATTAATCTCTTGGAATACTTGTATTTTTAAGTGACAATCAATCCAGGAAGATGTATTTACTGATTGCATTTTCCAGTATTTATGTCCATGATCTAGTTCCTTATGCTACCCCGTTAATAAAAGATTCGGTGTGAGAAATTCATTTGTTTGCGAAATGCTAAATACCATAGTCTATTCCGTTCCTGAATAATTGTAACACATATGAACGTTCTTGAAGAGGAGAAGTCCTGTAGTAAAGGAACCAGTTTAATTATGTTTAACTCTGCATTCCCCAAACTCATCTCACCACAAATTACTTAGGCACATAGTTCCCGCTAGCACACTTTGGAAAACAGTGTCCTAGAGATAAAGACAGACGTCAACCATGTATGGCCAGTGAAATCCAGGAATCCTCAAGACTCATAAAAACTTAGTGAAGCCTCAGGATTGGGGACTGAGCAGTCCTGCATTATTTCCCATAACCCGGGGCACTGTGATAACGGGATGTAACTTCGGTTACCTTCAGCCCACAGCGGTAAGCTTCCACCTTATCCAGATCCAGGCTCACGGTTTCCTCTTCGGTGAGTCTGGCTTCGTACACCTTTAACATGTCTTCTGTCTGCAGGATGGCCTGGAGTAGAGCTCTCACTGTGCATAAGCTGTAAAGAGCCAAGGAGGCCAAGAATATTGTCGGTGATGTAATTAGCCTTTGAAGGTTTGGCTCTGGCCACTTTTAATGAAAGAATGTTAAAGCTGATAAAAATTCATTTTGCCTATTTTACAAGCTGCAGGAGGAATAAACTCCCTCCCTCTGCCCCTGCACCATGATTCAGACAGCCCTTGTGCATTCACTGAAGATTTCGAAGTCCTGGCTCTTACAGATATACCTTAGCTGTAAGATGCATTAGATTTCACCACAGTGGAATGAACACCGAGGCTAGACAACCCTCTCTCAGAAGCACAGAAGAGTGTAAGTAAGCCTGTAGTGAGTCGAGAAACTGGAAGACAAGGCCGCAGTGAGTCAAGCATAGAAAG